GTGGGGTTTATCAAACAATCAAGACCCATTATGTGAATAAACTTTTATTTTAAAGATTCCTAAAATTGTCCAAATAGACTTCCACTACAAGCTTTCTATTAAATTTTGGATTAATGGCTAACACACATTGAAATGAAAGCACCTAACAGCTATTACATTCAAGTAGCCAAACATTTGTGCTGTATAGAGATGTGCCATTTATTTTCTAACCCCTTTTCTGATTTCTTCTTTTTTATTACTGGTAAGTGTGTTTGTTCTATGGGAGAAAAGAATAAGACTCACACCTTAGCTCTCATTATATTTGGGCAGAGCACCTTTTTATAGTATCATATTGTCATAATCATCTTTTTAGCACATTTGTAAGCATCTAGACAAGTTCTGATGTTGTTTCTTGACAGAAAAGTTTGCAAATATGGTGGCTAAAGTAGTTCCAAATGTCTTCACAGGGTTGGTGACTGGCGGAAATGAATTACTGGAACTCAGCCCCTGCCCACTGAAATACTGCAGCACAACTCTGAAGTGTAAGTACATGAGTAAAACTGAGCATGTACTTCAAGTTCTGTGCTAAATGGGGTATTTCACCCATTTTGGGGAAAAAGAAGGTCTGTCCCCAGATATGTCAATTGCATTTCATGATGAAGACTGATGATAACAGTCACCTACCTGTTCTTACATAGTATGGGGATTCATTAATATGTATGAAATTCAGTGAATATGCTGATGGTTCACGTTGGTTTTCTCCTTCGAGCTATAGCAATGTAAGCACATCCAAGTAACAAAACAAGGTGAAGTTAATACCAATGGGTTAAACACTGTATTTTAAATACTCAGGATATCTTCATACAAGAAAGTGGAAATAGGGTCTACATTCATATACTAAACTTAAAGTTAAAACTATCAAGCCCTTTTTTGAGAGCAGGAGGATGGGATGTTCCAAAAATAATTGTGATCTAGAAATCAATGTTGTGCCATAAGGTTTGGAGCAAATGTGCAGTCACCACTGTCATGCACTTTTGGTAGTAACAGAGTTGAAAACTAGGGCAGCACAGAGTTTTCGATGGTGTATGCTTGGACATACTCTAATCATACTTGTCCTTACTTTTAATCAACCTGGTTGCAAACGTTAAGGAAGTATGGTAAGAAATTATGAGCTCTGAGGAAAGGTTTGGTAAATCTCAGTTGTGTGCAGCACACAATGAAACAAGAATTAAGGAGAAAAGAGAAAAATCCATAGCTGAGGAAAAGAACATCTTTCCCATCAAGAAGTTTTAGAAAACAGAGCACTTATTTAAAAGGCAGTTACTTAGTCTATAAAGCTGTTTGTTGCAGTGAAGATGACCTCCTTTGCATCGTAGTTTTGATTTTGAACCTCTACCAAAGCACCTTATTGCATGGAGGTCAGAGCATGTTGGGCAAAACTTCCACGGCTTTTGGATTATTAGGAGATTTTAGTCAAGATCATTAGGAGATATTTAGCTCTTCACGCTCTATATTGATCCTTTTCAGACTGCGTAACATTTTCCAACACATACAGTTAGTGGATTTCTGCATGTAGCAATAGATTTTGTAAAGTCACCGCATGACCATGGGCCTGCTGGAGGGAAGCTACTGGGGCAGAGAATACTTGTCCTACTTCCATTCTTTAACTCTTCAACTGCATTAGAAACACGTGTCTCCATAAAACCCTCCTTGATACAGGTGTATGCATGGATGGTAAAATGAATTGAGAAGCAGAGCAAGAATGAAGTGGTTCAGCCTCAACTAATGACTAGGATCTCAGCTGGCTGTTGGATTTGGACAGTTCCAGTTCTTCTCCATGGAGTTTTGAATACCACATCCCATGTCAAGGGGTTCTTAACTTAAGCATTGATTGGAAAAAAGAGTTATTTTTTCTCTGCTTTCTGAAAGAATGGCAGGGAGAATCTGATACAGCATTTGTCTTTGTGCAGGACTTATGGACTGGCCATCTGGCCAGCACCTAGTCAAAACACGTGCTGCTTCTTGCCCACCTGGCCAAGCACATAGTATTGGTCAGAAGATGTGGAAGAAATCTGGGGTTGTTGTAAATTGGCACAGGTGAAACAGGAGGGAGCTGAGAAATTGCCAAGCAGAAGAAGAGATTAATAGTACAGAAATGGGTGTAGGATATTGTGGGCTTATTGGGCATAGAGGAGAGTTGAAGGCTTGAAGGGGGAAGGGTTTGCAGATGAGGAGAAGCCATGAAGGGCAGCAGGTGGAACGATGAGGACAAAAACTGTGAAATTGCATCAGAGGAAGGAAGAAACCAGATTTCATTTATTGTTACCCTTGGACAAACTCTTTAAAAGTCTGGCACCTGGTACAGAGGTTGGTAGGTGACAAATTTTATACCAAAGTAAAATTAAAAAGTGAATTAAACAGTAAATTTACTAAAATTATAAATATACTAACATTAAAAAGTAAAAACAAACAAACAAACAAAAAAAAAAAACCAAAAAAAACCAAACCTACTACTTTTTAGCAGGTTAGCAATTTCTTACCAAAGCTTCTCTGAAACCTCAGCATTGCTGTCATCTAGTTTGGCAGCCAATTACCATTCCAGCAATGCCAGTACTAGCAGTATTCAGCAGCTTCCAGGGTTCAGTCAGCACCATTCTCCTCCCACTGCATGCACCTTATTATCAGAAAGTGCTTGTATTGCCCTAGGGACATCAAAGCAATTGTGCCCCACTGGGATGAACATGAGCACATACAGCAGGGCATGCCAAGCGTTTAGAGAGTTTAGACTGTATTATAGAAAGATCTAGCAAGCTCTAATAAGTAAATAACTACGAAAGATAGCTAAGAAAATAAATATCAAATCTTATGACAACAAAAACATCAGACTTTGTTCAGAATGATTTCTTATGGAGGAGGGAGGGTAGCACAAGCTGGGAAACTGAGTCCCAGAAAGGCTTTGGTGCCCGTGTCCCCCCAGACCAGCACATGCATTGCTCAGGCTCTGTGTCCTGGCTCACTGAGTGACTGTTCACCTCTGAGGCCTCCATGCTGGGGCTGGGATACCTCCGATTTGGCCATTGTGGTTTTCAGCATCACAGCACCTGTGCCTGGCCCCAGCCTTTCACACTGAAATGCTTTACGAGCTAAATATTTCATTGAGCATGTGGTCTGTGCCTGGTGGCAGTCATTTCAGATGGATGGGCTGTATGCAAAGACTGACTGCTTTGCTTGAGCCAAACATAATAAGCTGTCTTGCATACTCCACACCTAATAAAATATTAAACATGTTTTGGCACCCAGAAATAAATACTGGCTCGAAATTCCCATCACACACATCTCCCTCTCCTTACCTCCCAGTTCCTCCCCCCTGCTTTATACTGAAGTGCTGCTGCTCAGACCAAACAGTCTGTTGACAAGTTGTGACACTGGAGGCGAGCAGTGCACAGTGCCATAGGGTTATTATCTGTTGGGATGTAACAAAGTGATCAGATTGGGTGCTAGTGATGTGCTTGCAGCCTGTGCCATGCAGGGGCAGGCAGCTTGTGAAATGGCTGCTCCGTGTCTCAAAGTTGCTCAGTGGGAACTGATGGGGACTCAGTGGGAACAATGGGAGGCCACTTAAAGCTGAAGTTAAAAGTGGAGCCTTGTGTTAAAAACCAGGATAAATAGAATATTATAAATAGAATAGAAACTAAAAAAAAAAAGAGTACAATAACCATAAACTGCTACAATATTCATAATTCAGTTGTCAGATTTTTATTTAAAAACTGTGTATAGCTTAAAAATCGCTGTCATAATAATGCCTCTGTGTTAATGCAAGGCAATGATGCCTTTCCAGTACTCTCTCTTTTAATCCTCGGTGCTATGATTTTATTTGATCTGTTCCTCCAGCCACCTAGAGGCAACCTAAAACAGCAGTAAAAAATATCTGACCAGTATCCACCCACATCAGTGGGTCCCAAGTCAAAGCTCCTTGAAATCAAAGAGTAAAGTGCCACCAGCTTTGCCTGGGCTTTGGGTCAAGCTTCTCAAACCTGGCTCCTAAAACCCAGAGGGACACGGGGAGTGTTTGTGCCTCTCCAGCCCATGGCTCTCCCAGCCTCCCTGTGACCCAGCGCTACATGTACAATAGCGTTTTTCTTGACTAATATTACCAGTGTGGTGTTTTCTTTGGCTTTGATAACGCTGTGATAAATTCCTTGACTGGACAGCACCTGATTGGAATACATTAGAAACCTACTTGGCAATGAAACTGCTGCCTAAGTGCATAGGAAGGCTTAGCCACAGGTCAACATCTGCACTCACAGCAAGTGCTGCCTGCATCGAGGCACTGCTCAGCCCCTTCATTCAGGAGCTGCCTTTTGGGGTGGGGGCATTTTTCAGATAGCTTTGGTATAATGATATTTGTCTGCAGCTGTACATGGCTTGATGCTGCCTGACAGGAGAGAACAGGAGCATCACCCCGGCCTCACCCTTTGCCTTCCCCTCGGTTTGCTTCACTTCAGCATTCACCGGGGCTGCAACACGCACCGCTCCGTGGCGCGTTCGCGTTCACGTTCACCCAGGGCCTGAGTTGAGCATGTGATGAGCTATGTGACACGGTAACTCCGTCCTTTGAAGCTGACGAGCAGCGTTTTTCCTGGGCGCGCGTTTTTCTTTCCGCTTCCCCCCCCGTAACTGTCAGACCCCCGTGTCGGCCCGCGATGCGGTGTGTCCCGCCAGGCGGGGCGGTGCTGCCCGGCGGGCGGGTCGGGGCCGCGGCGGCGCTGCTGAAGGGCACGGCGGGGCGGTGGCACCTCCCTTTCCCGCTCCGCCCCGCCCCGCCGGCAGCACCAGCGCCGTCGGTGCCGCGGGGAGGCCGGGGAGCTCCCGGCGGAGCGGAGTGAGTGGCGCTGCGGGCGGGCAGGGGCCCCTCCCCGGCGCTACCTGTGCGAGCGATGCGGGGCCGAACTGCACTTAATCGGGCCGGCTCCCGCCGCGGGGGAGCGGGGCGGCGGGGGCTCGGTGGCGGAGCCCCGGGGGTGTGGGGTGGAGGCCGTTCGGGGCCCGCCCGGAGCCGGGTGCGCTTACCGGTGGTGTTCCGAAAGTGGTGTGGGAATGACTTCATGGAGGCTTTGCATCTTTGTCGGTTGCGAACAGGAATCGGGAGGACGCAGCGTTGGTGGGACGAGGGCCTGATCCTGCGGGCACCGGCGAGGACGAAGCAGCCCTCTCCTGCCTGGCTGGCCCCAGGAACTGCTGCTCGATGGACAGAGGCGTGCTGGTGGGACCACGTTTACAACATGCTCTTGGCACTTCAGCCATCCCCACTGTGCTGGTATGTAGCCTGGTGCTGGTTTATGGGAGGGATGGGCTGTGTCCCTTCACAACCATCACAGTGTGTGGTGACCCACGGGGCAAGCTGTGGCCATGGGCAGGACTGGCCTTCAGCATGTGGAGGAAAGGAGGAAGAGCTAGGTTAGAGGTGGGGTTTGCAGTGGTAACACCATACTCCTCCTATTGTCACAATGAGGTTGCTAGCAGCAAAGTTCTCCAAACTGGGCAGGGCAGACGTGCAGCCCTTTGGGTTTGCCTGGGAAGAGGTGGTGCTGCGTGTAGCCATGCAGGCATTGCTGAAGGTAAAGGGAAGGTAAATAGCCTGGCTGCTCCTCTGAGTGGTTGGGGTGATGTGAGGGTTTCTTGTCTGCCTCTGCTGTGCCATGAATACCTTTTCCAAGCTTTGGCCCAAACCTGGACGGGGCAGGTTACCTTCATCTAGTACATCATAAAATACAGATTTGGTAGCGTAATGTCAGCCATGGCAAAAACTGTAGAACGTTTAGAAACGTCTTATTCTTTCTCATGGTTCAGGAAGTAGGACTTCAAATCATGTTTCTAAATGCAGTAATTAAAAAGGAAAAAAAACAGGGATTTGTACTGTAGTCTTAACAAAGTGGCATTTTTGACCTTCGAGTGGATACAAATTAGTTTTCTTCATAACATTATGTTCTGCTGAGAATTGTTTCTCTAAAATCCCTTTGGTTTGTACAAGTAGCACAGGGGGCTGTGCGGAGCCTTGCAATGCTCATGTCTCAGGGGACAAGGTAGTTCCATGGGCAGGGTCCTGGGGAGAGAGCCAGCAGTGCTGCTGGGCTCTGCGGGTACCACTGCCTTGTCTGGCTGCTGGCCACCCTGCTGCTTGGGCCCAGAGGTGGCAGCTCCCTTAGAAGTAGAAGCTGGCGCATTGGGAGCGATGAAATTCAAGGAAAATACTTGGGGAGAGCTGTGAGACAGTGATACTTCAGGCTGACATAGTTATTTATTGCAATTGTGGGCAGCTTTTGTACAGCTGGAGCATCTGGCTGTTAACTCCTCACTTTGTCCTCGGCTGATTTCTGCCACTCATTAGTAACATAGTTGTGATTTTAAAGCATGGGGCTGTGTTTTCCTGTGTGTTCTTATGTGAGATGTGGACAAACAGGTCTTCTGTTCCATTCCTGAGTCCCAGTTTTACATTTGGCTTCTGCATAGGGAGATTAAAGAGCAGAATGGGGTTGTGCGCTGCTTTTCTTGTACTACTCTATCCTGGTAGGCAGATCCTGGCCTTCTCCTTCCTCTGACTTTCACTTTTGCTAATCTAATGGGACCTTGCCTTTGTAAGGGCGTCACAAAGCAAAACAACGTGCTTCATTCATACCTTGCGGTCTGCAGCTCCATATGCTCGTAGTTGAATCTTGTGACTACAAGATACTACAATAAAACATGACTCTGTCAGACTGAGATACTGATCCAGTGTTCTACCTGCTGCTGCTCATCAGCTCCCGCTGGCAGGATCCCCAGGCTGGGCAGCAGCCAGGGACAATGGCAGGAGGGACTTTCTTGCTTGTGAAGATCTGTGCATCCCTGCCCACTGTCTGCAGCAGTCTGTCTCCAGCTGGACCTGCGAAGGACAGCAATGCACCTTTACAAACAAGCCTAGATCCTAAGCTTTAGCAGGAGTGTAGGTAGCTTGAAGTTTTAACGTGCTCCTGAAGGTGTGTTGTTAATAGGTAGGCTCTGATGCCACGATTGGCTTGTTGGGATGGAAGTTTTGTGGTGTATCTAGGAAAATACTAGTTTCTGTTCTGGTTTGTCCAAAAGTATCACATTTTAATAAACCACAGGTTGCTTTGTTTGGAGCCAGTGCCATGCTTTAAAGCAGTCTAACTTGGCCGGTGTCTCTGATACCCTTTGGTGATACACGTGTTTTCCCCTGCTGTGGGGAATATGGTTTTGGGGATCTTCAGGCTGTATATTTGCAGCTAATCCCTATGGGGGTGGGCTGATAACTACAACATCTGTAGGCTTTGCTGAACAACATGTTGAACCGGTATCTTCCTTAGGGCAGGGAAACAGCTGTACATCTACGTTAAAAACTTGATATCCATTTCTTATGTTTTGTTTTTGTGCACTCACCAGTTTCAAGCATTATTTTGTATTTGGGTTCTTAGAGAGTTTCACGTCTCCTCTATGACATTAGCTTTTCCTCCCTCTGAGCCAAGGCATTCCTCTGTAATTTCTGTAGCTGGATCACTTAAATCTTAGCTAAACTTCCTGCAGATGGACTTTCTGGGAAGCTCTGCATCTTCCTCATGCTCTTTCTTCTACAGTCTTGCTCAGAGGCCTCACTTGTTAAGGAAACCCATTGGTCCACTTTTACTTATATAGAATACAGGCTTTAATCAACAGAAGGCATCCCACTCTTGTTTGTACAAGGGTAGGTTAAGCTGATTGTCTCCCTTGTCTATGGTCTGGCAGAGAGCCTGTGCTGACAAATGTCTGCTCACTTGTATTCTGAGACACGGGGGGGGTGGAACCACCAGGCGTTGAAAAATGAAGTAGAATTAATATGTGGTCTGTATTTCTGTCTGAATTTGGTGGAAACAGTAGCATGTGCAGGTGCTTGGGCAAGCAGCTAGGTGATGAGCGCAGAACTGGTTAGAAGTTTTCAGCATCCTCTTGCCTTCAGGCTGCTCTCTGCTGCATATGGTTCTGGTAAATAAAGCCCTGTACTGGAAGGAGGAAGGATTTCAGGAAAGGCTGGCTGGGTACAGCTTTACTTTCATGAGATCAGACAGGTACCAAGCACACAATGCTCTTTGCTTTTAACAAGACTGTTTTTTCCTGGGTGAAAACCGCCTTTGTGGCTGCTGAGGACTGTACCAACTGGCACTGCTGTTGTCTGAACTGTTGGTATTTCTGCCTCAAGGCTCCCGCTTGTACTTCAGCCTTGCTTGCTGCTTCCAAAAGCATGGATAAGATTGCTAGAGCAGTCAGGAAAGCACTTGGGTTTGTTCCTTACTTCTGTGGTCACATGTCTGTTGTGTGTGCATATGGGGCTTGGTTGGTTTTTGTTAATACATCGGTGTTTTGTTTGCTTGTTTATTTCTAAGTCAGTACTGGCTTTAGATCCAGAAGCTTTAGATATCCAGAGCATGTCAGCATAAAAACTCACATCAACACAGGTATACTGATTGGCAGCAAAAAAACCTGATTCCCCCACTCCCACTGTGCACGTAAATCGTGAATTGAGGCGAAGAAACATTTTCCTCTCTCCTGTTTTTCCCTCTAATTTTCTTTAAGATTTTCATGTTCCTTAACTGCACTGCTGAAGTGGTTGAGAGTTGAAATTTGACATGGAAATTGCCTCCATTAAGTAACTCAGTGTTCTGACTGAGAAAGAAACTCATAGGAAAGTGGATGCCTGTCTCCTCGTCCAAGTAAAAAGGAAACACCCTCAAGTTGCACCAGGGGATGTTTAGACTGGATATTAGGAACAATTTCTTCACCAAAAGGGATGTCAAGTATTGGAATGGGCTGCCCAGGGTAGTGGTGGAGTCCCCATCCCTGGAAGTACTTAAAAGACGGGTAGATGTGGCACTTAGACATGGTTTAGTGGGGAACTTGGCAGTGCTGGGTTAATGGTTGGATTTGATGATCTTAAAGGTCTTTTCCAACCTAAACAATCTGATGAACAGCTGTTGTCTTACTGAAAACCATTTTAAAGTAAGCTTTTAAAGAGGTCATGCCTGGTTCTGAAAAGTGGTGCCGTTTCGCCATTCAGTTACAATAAACTGGCTTAGAAGCCTGCAAAAGTTTTATCAATTCTGGCCATGGGGGGTGGAGGGACCATTGAAATACCAGCATGTGCCCTGAGTCAGATAGCCAGAAGACTCTCACTGACACGCTAATCCTGCACAGCAGTTGTTTGCTGTTCCTGCATCCAGCCCTTTTCAATCCATAGCTCTTATCTCTTGCTGGCAGTAAGCAACATGAGGGAGAGGATGGCTCTTCAAGGAATGAGGGCTCCATTTATGCTCTTTGTTGCCCAAGTTGTTTCAGGGTATTTAGGTAAATCAGCGATTGCCTGAGGTAGCTGGATCTTGGGAATCATGCTTGTCTTAAAATAACTCCAGCTTTTTAAAACCTCCTTTCCCTATGATGAGAAGGAGCCTTTATAATAAATGTTACTACAGTGTGCTGCCTCTATAGAATTTGCAGAAAACTGGGTGTGAAGGAGAGGCAGACATTAAAAGTGGTGGGTTGGATTGCTCTGAGAGGCCCTGCCTGGGCTGTTCTGCACAGGAGCCTCCAAGACCTGAGCGACAGAGATGATGCTGTGCACTAAGGGAATGATTCATTCCTCTATGTGCTGGTGCTCTGTTTGAAACTGCAGAGCACCCAGAGGCATAATATCATGTATCCTTCTGAACAGCATCCCACCTTGTTAGGGAGAGGAAAGACAGATGTAGGATGTTCCGGGTTTCTGTTTCTCTCCATTTTTGCATGGAGGATGTAAGTATTTAATGCAATTAGATGCAATTCAGAGGTCTGGATGCCTGAATGCTGTTTGGTTTACCTCTGCTGATACCTCAGCTGCATCACTTGCCTCAAGTTTGAGTGTTTTTGTTACAAAGAGTAATGTTTATTGTTTCCACGATAATGACAACACTATGATTATCTGAAAACTCTCCCTATGCACTTGTATGATAAAGGTCCAGGTCTCAGCAGAAGCTCTGAGAGGGAGAAGGGAAAACAGGAACTTCTAAGCTTTGGCAGAAGATGGGGCATTCCACATGCTGGCATATGACCCTTTCTATATCCACACTGAAATTGTCTTTAACTAGACTTGTGGAGGATGGAGGCAAATAGGATGGGAGGCACTTGCCCAAGCAGCAGCCCCCTGTGCGCTGGGATTAGGTGCTGTATATAAGTTGTTGCAGCCTACCATTCAATCTAATTTCTAAAGTGCTGTATCATCACCTTTGTCAAAGTCAAATCCTGTGGGTGAGCAAGCAGGCAGACTTCTGCAAGGCCAGTGCTACGGATTTCATCTAACCTTGTGATAATACATAACTTTGACCCATCCACCAGTGCTAACTTTCATTTATTGGTTCCCTTTGCAGAGTCCCAGTTGTGAAGCTGTCTGTGCTGTGCTGAGGACAAGTGGGACAGCTTGTTAAAAGCAGATGTGGTTTTGGTAAGTAGTACACTGAGCTTCTCTTGTGGATACTGAGATTAACACTACAAGCCTCCCTGGCTGGAGGAGGGTTACAGAGAGTCATATTTGAACCTAAAGCTTTGGAAAATGAGGAGCCTGGCTTTGTCACAGCAGAAACTGCTCACTGTGTTCAACTGGACAAAGCTGGGCTAAGCTATTTTGAAAAGTATAACTTATTTGTTAATCCAATGACAGGTGTAGCAGAAAGTGTTACAGAAAGCAGTTCCTTGCAGTGTAGCATTGAACTTCAAGGAGATTTTTTTTCAAAGGTCTTATGCATGAAGCTATTTAAATGGTAGCAGGAACTTACTTGCCTGTGGTAGCTAGAGATGTTGTATAACAGCAGAACTCTTGCTCTTCATGCCTGTCTTCATCATGTGAAGATGTACTCCAGAGAGGCAGGTGAAACTTATTTTTGGATAGCTCGCATTTATCCTTTTGTAATTATTTCTTACTGATCATTTTAATACTTAAAAAGTCTTATTTGTCTAAATGAAACTGCAGTTATGCTAGTAATGCTTTCTTAATGTAATTTATATTGTATAATAGTGAATTGCAGGCATCCTTTCACCACTGTTTTGTTTCCTTCAATATTTAGGAATGAACTTACCTTGGCAGAAAACACCTAGCCAGGCTGGCAAAGAGACTGCTTAGCCCTGTCATGCAAGGTGAGTTCAGCTATGTGGTATGACTCCCTCAATTTTTCTCTCTCCTTGTATTACTACAAGGCACGTGTGTAGTAAATAACGTCACAGGTGAAGCAACACCTGAACTTCCAATTCCAGGTGTATGGAAGGGAATCAATTATTTTCAGGACTCTTAAAATAATACACAGTGTTTATACTATTGAAGTTAAATGAGGTATTTATTTAAAAGCATATTGACTACATGTCCCCTGAAATTGAGCACAATGAAGAAACTGTATTACTCAGATTAATTAAATCAGCATTTCTGTTACTGTAAAATTGGTCTTGGTTTGTGATGGTGCTGCTTTAACTCCTGGCTGACAGTGTGGCAGAGCAGATTGCAGCTCCCTAACCTCTGCCTCCAGCTGAGCACACAGCTTGTCACATGAGGGACTGTGTCTGCAGAGGTTTTGGCCTGAGCCTCGAACCATCTATGCAGTGATTTCTGAGACAAATCTGGCAATAAATCAGAGCTTGGGCATTAAAACAGACTTGTGTGCAGTTACTGAATGAAACTTCGTGCTGGGAGTAAAATGAGTATCCTCCCTGCTGCTCCCTGAGGGGGTGAACATGTGAGGAAAACCAGAGATACTGAAGTCCCCATCAGAATTTACCACTCTGGAGATGAGTTAGGTGGAGAGTGTTTTAACAGCACTATACCACGTACGTGCAAGCAGTGGCTGTCAGAAAAACAGGCAAGCAGTCAGAAGATTGAGGGCAGCTGCATTTGCGATCATTCATGTGCCAACAATTATTAACCCAAGTAGAATGAGCAAAACTGTAAAACTTACTGCAGTGACTGGGAAAGTACCACACTCCATAAATAATGAAGTGAGCAACAGTCGAGCATTTAAAATAAGGTCAATAACTTTGCTTTTAAGCTCAACTAGTAATCAATTTGGAACAATTTAGTTGTCTTGGACGTCTTGCTATCTAGAAGTGTCATAGCCTGCCCCTTCCAACTTGCAGGGCAGTCACAGACATTTGATTTAGCCCAGATGAAAAGGCAGAGGTAAATCCTGCAGATGAAGATGCTGAAGATGATTTTCTTCCTACCTGCTTTAGGAGATGTTTATCCTATTCCCTCCTTCCTTCTGCTGGACACTAACTCATCTGGTGGCGTCCCCTCACAAAAGAGCAAAGAAAATCTCCACTTTTAGGATGGAAACATCTTAAACCAATGATAAAATACTAACTAAAACTGGCTGCCTTTTAACACACCTCCTTTTAGAAACATGCACACACACACAAAAGAGTAACATCTAAAAGAATATGGGTCCAAACTTAGATTAGAAATCAAATCTGAATTGTCATAAAATATCAGGCATGAAAATCTAATAAAATACTTTATCAACTGTGGCATAGAGCCACAGTTTTATGGTTGGGGAGTATGAGGTTTAAATTTATGGTATTTACAGTTCTGGCTTAGCCTAAGGAGGAAATGATACCACATCGAAAACTTCTAATGCAACCAGTAGTGTAGTGAGAGGGAGGTACATAGATACGCTGTGTACCTCCCACAAAGCTTGTGTACTACCTTGGCTGGGTAAAGACTGCAGTGTTCAGGTATTAGGTATGCTGGGTTATAGATGCTGTTAGTGATTCTTTGCCATGTCAGATACTTTGAGCTATGTATTCGTTCAAAAAGCCAGTAGAAATTATTTTTATTAATATTAATGATAAATATTAAAATTAGACATGCACAAGATACTACTATTAGAAAGGTCTGAATTATTCAGATGTCTGAATTGCTTTCAGACATGTCCTTGGCCTCTGGTCTATAAGCATGTTCTGAAAGCATTTTAAGTTTCATCAGTTAATAGACATGGGTATGAAGCTCATAGGGTTTTTTAATAAACCTCTACAGGGATCAGTATAGTTTCTTGTGTGATGTAGGGAAATCCAGCCTTTTACTCATTTAATAACAAGTTATTACAATAAAAATCTGCCTGATAGCTTAGTTCTCCTCTGTGTTGGGTAAAACTACAAATGCTCCCAGCAGGGTTTATGTTACAGGCTTGTTCACTCTGCTGCCTGCTCTGAAATACACTGGCACATGCTCCAGAAAAAAAAAGACTTACTAAATTTTATTAGAGGGATTTATAAACACTTCTCTAAAATGCTGCAATGTTCTGACATAAAGCTAAAGGTGTGAAAACATCTGTATGTACTTTGTGCTTTCAGAAGCCCTTCAGCTCTTTCTGCCAGAAACACCAACCACCACTTCCAAGTACCGGCACTTGAGTCCTACAAACTGTTTCCTAAACAGGTAATGATGTTTTCAGTGAAGCTTGTCACCATGAACCTGGTCCTCATGGGTCAGCTGCTAGGGTGGGGAAGTCCTTCCTACCTGTGAAGCACTGTTTGCCTGTAAATGGGATTGATTTCCTCTGCAAATATTTGCCTATGATCATGTTACTGGAGTCCCTGTTTCCCCCAGTGTATAAAGCAAATAAATTAAGGCTTAACATCTTTGTCATGATTATGTTTTCAGAGGCTATTTACAAAAAAATCTTTAACTTTGGCTGACCTTAGTACAGCGTCATCGGGTGAAGCTGTAGGGAACAGTTAGTTTCTGTGCACAGTCTTTATTTTGGCTGGCAGTCTGTTAACTCCGATAAGTGGGTAAGCTCATGCCAAGCAAAGTCAGGCATATCATGAGATTCTGCTTTGTCTGTACTTAGAAAGTAGCCTGAGAAACAGCCTTGAAGGCTAATAAAAAAACATACACCAGAATTTGGGGCTGAACAACTGTGATTCTTGAAGAGTTTGACTAAAGGACCTTGTCAGGTGTTACTGCATTCACCACTCTCCCTCCTCTAGATGTGCAGCTGTCCTGCTTTAGCAAGAATGGTGCTCCAGCTCTGTAAAAACTGCCTTGAGCACAGCAGTGTGCTGCTGCTTTCCCTTACCTCTCAAGGGAAAAGAAAGAAAAACAGCTTGTTTCTCATGAATATGTTCAAGCCTCCTTGAGCAACAGCAGAATGACACTGGGAATTAGTGTCACTCCTGCCCAAAGGGCATACAACAGCCATGGCACAAGGCTCTTATGCAGTAGTGGTTGGCTGGTGCCTCTTGGGGTGTTTTGAGGGTTTATTTTCTTTAGCAGCATCAGTCACTGAAGTTAAACAGTATTTGTTGACAGATTCAGGAAAAGAGCACTGCATTGTCAGTTGGAAAGAAATGATTATTCTTACTGTTTTCCCCAAGACCTTTGCATTCCTAGATGGCTTACATCATGTACTGGGAACTGCATGCAAAGGCAGTCTGAATTCAGGTCAAGCTTTGCCTGTTTCTAGTAGATGTATGTTACTGATAAAAACATTTTTCACACACCATGCAAACATTTATTAAAGTTGTTTCTACAAGCATCTGTACTGAATTTATCTTTCCTCCGAGCTCACTGGGAATGCTAGACTATTTTTTGTGCTTATATGAAACACTGTTTTGACAGATTTCTTCAGAAGCAAAGCAGCACAAAAGAAGACATTCTGCTCTTTGAAAACTGGAACCACTGGCAAGAAGCAGCCACACTGTGCACTGAACAAGGGCACCTTTTCCAGGTTATCAAAACATGCTGTTGAACTGAATTTTGGAGCTGCATTTCCAAATGTACCATGGGATGCATCAAATCCAAGGCTGCCTTTCAAGGTTCAAATGCTATCCAGGATGAACAGATCAGGGAAGGTAATGAAGGATGTACTGGAGAGAAATCATCACTGATAGCAGTGAAGGTGAATGAGAAAGGTCCATCGAGCCCTATAGTGCTAGACTATGCACACCGTCTCTCCCGTGAGATCGTTGATCAGGCGGTAAAACAGTGGGCAGTGACTGAAAGCAAATACAGCGACATCCCTTTTATTGAAAGTGATGTGCCCTGAGCCCTGACTGGCAAGAACTGTCTTCACCATGAGTGTCCTGTCTGTGAAGCAGTTTGTATTTGGTACTAGGGCAAATAAAGTAAAATCAGCTGTGATTTGAGCATAATGCCACTATATGAATGTGTTTGCAAGAAGAGGCAAAAAAAAAAAATGGCCTTTTCATCTATATTGCTAAGAAATTAATTGGATTACAGTACAATCTATTAAGCAAGTGTCATTTGTCATCAGACGTATGTTGAGTATGTTCTGTCTTTGTATGTATCAAATGTGATCAGAAATAGTGTTAAAAGGATGAGAGGAATGTGGCTGCCCTGCAACTGTAAAAGCACTGCCTCAGAGGCCCCAAAGATGCTTAACAACAAAGTGTGGATTATTTTTATTTACTGCAAAAAAAAATCAGTGGCCTGGTTGTAGGTGAAAAGAGGGGAACTCTCCATGCTTGGTAAATTTGTCTGCATTTTGCTGAAGTGAAACCAAGGTCTGCATGTAGCAAAGGTAACTGCTGTCATAAATTTTACCTTGATTCTTTGACCTGGCTGAATCTGTAAACCACAAAATAATGAAGGTGATGAGAAGCATTTTATAAACCCCAGCAGTATTCAGGGACCCATATGGATTATGATACTAATCAACTTCTGTTCTTAAGTGAAACAGTGAGGAACAGGACTGTGTTGACAAACAGTGCATTATAATTAACAGATGCTCTGGCTTCTGTAAATGCATGAAGGCTATTCTCTAAAATCCTACAGTAAGGTAGTTTAATGACATCTGATCGCTGTGTTCAGACCAAGCTGTTTGGATTTTTGGTTTGGTTTTTACGTTCGGGTGCTGTTTTTTAGGGGGGATTGGTTTTAGTTTTTTACTGTAACCCACATAGGTGTGCAAAAACTACTGATGCAAACTAGTGAAACAAACCTTCAACAGTGTGACAGTATTTTAGGACTGTATGTTTCATGGGACCTATGGCTGATTTACACTGAAATTTCACACAAAGGTAATGCCCTCGCCACAGGACCTTCCTTCAGCTTCTGTAGGCTCATCTTGACCCAGTGGTAAAACTGCATATGGTGATGCAAATACAAGCTACAGAAACCCAAAGCCTGAGCAGTGCACTGAATCTGCAAATAAGCCTTAGGCCCAAAGCTTAAGGGACTCAATTCTTTACCAGTTTTATGTAGCCTGCCTCCACACACCGCACCCTGCTTCTCCAGGACTTGCAGCCTGACCTACAGTAACTAGCATTTGAGATACGAAGAAAGGGAGGTGTTAATCACTGTCATCTTAAAGCTACAGTTTTGCGGACATTTTATAGAAAGTGAATGCCTTGTAAAAGCTTGGGGTTTAGCACCGGTTTGTTCCTTTTTCTGTTATGGCCAGTTTAAAAGACATAGGTTTGGGTTTTTTCCTAGATCATTTTTCCATTTTATGTTTTTGTTTTACAGAAAAATGCTTTCCATACTGGCAAAAACTGTTACTATTTTTAAAACACACACATAGTTCTAGTAAATTATATAAAGCATGATTATTCAAGCGGAAGGAAGCAAGCAGAACGAGGACCATGTAAGTTGTTATTTGTAGCCTGCCTTAAATCTGAGAATAAGCTATGATTTGAGCTGTTTTGAAAACTCTGCCACACAAACTTAGTTACTTTAAATCCACCTGTATGGGAAAGTGGTTTTATCAAGAGTAAAGGGTGAAAAATGGTTCTCTCTAACACAGCACAAGACTATTAATTCACAGTGACCAGACTAGACTCTGCTATTAAGACTCTTCTCAGGCTTTCGCTGAAAAGAAGGGGGACAAAATCTGCTTATGATGTTGCATTGTTTTCTTCTTTGAAGTAATGAATCTTTGAAGCCATATGTAAAGTGGGACCAAGGCCCACTTAAATTCTACTGCCAACAGTGATGTACCTTGAAGTTCTAAAGCATGTAAAACATTAGACCATACCCTACATTTGCTCAGTCTAAAGAAATGTCCACGCTATATCAGATCAGCACATATATTAATTTGATATTGCTTAACCACAGCATTAAAAAGGATTCCTATTTATATTATAGCTAAGGTTTTATTACAAAAAAAGTGAACCTTTCTGTAATGTTAGTCTTTACTCAAAGATATTAACACTGTCAAAGACAGTAATTAAAGAAAAAAATAGCAAAGATACCCCAAATCAAACAAAAGCCAAACACCCCCCCCCAAAAAAAAAAAAAAAACACCACAAAAACAAGGCAGGGGGAAAAAAAACCCTCCCAAAAGCTCCAGAGACATTATTTGCCAGATAGATATGTGACTAGCAGATAGATAGAAAACTGCACTCACTTTAAGAGCGCATTTAGGTAAGATCTGTCTTGACCCTTGTACAAGTAACCTTGGTGGCTGTCAGGGGGAGTTAGGTGTTGCAATGTCTCAAATCCTTTCTCTGGATGTAACCTTAGCATCTGACACTCTTCTGGGAGTCAGAATATCAGATGTGCTTTTGAAAGCAGCTTCTCCATTGGCAGGCTGCCACTGCATGGTCCAACAGCAGGCAGAATTATAAGATATAATAGTCTAAAGTTATATCATGGCATCCATACAGATAAATACTCAAAATTTCCCCGAAGTCACCTAGGTATAATTAAACATGCTTCACAGTGTGATTCCATTTGGAGTATTTGCTGTGTGGGACACCTTCGCTGCTTCCTCAGAAAGTCATCATAACATGATAGTAAGTAGATCACCCACTGTCCAACTAGTTACCTACCTGCAACCACAAAGCTTGTCTCTTCTCATTAATGCTGGAAGACTACAGCAGCTTCAATATAGCCTGAAGTGCAATTTCAGCTGCTTTGTGATGCTTCCTAGGACACTGGAACTTCAGGGAAAGCATGGAGCAAATGGAAGGCAAACAAGCTTACAAACAACAGGGAGACAACTTCTCACCAGGAAAATAATCTCTTTTACAAGACACTGTCCTTAATAAATAATGCACGTACCCTTAATAAAATAAAAACGTAAATAAAAGCTGTTCAATACTACAGTCTGGTGAGGAATCAAAGGAGACTTCTGTCCAGAATTACGCTGTATTTCTAATAGGCACAATACTAACGTATAATAAAAATCAAGATGGCTTTACCTGAATAAAATTACATCTCTTATTAGATTACTCTAAACTGTGCCACTTGCAGTGGCTTTCCAGCTAAGTTACCACTGATTCTTTGACTTGATTTTGTGTAATAAAGGCACTCCAGTATGGGACTGGCATACTCCACAAACCATTTACTTATATTTAGGAGTTAAAAATACACTTGCTTTATATTTTCTCCAGGAAACATAAATGTAGTCTGAGTGGATACAATGTGACTGACTTGATATTATAATTCAAAACATATTAACTACAGCACAACTTCATAAAATTGACATTTCTGGAGTAAGACACATCAGTAGTCCCAATAAAACACAGTACAATCTATTTTTTACAGTATCTTTTGTGGAAAATACTTTCTTGTGGACCAAATAAAATTGAACTTACCATCTGTTTGTATGACTTTTATTTTATAGAAATGCACAGATTGGACAGGATCTTGCTACCATGAGTTTGGGATAATTTATGTTTGCATAAATTTTGGAAGCAACTGAAAGTTTGATTCAGAAGTACTCTTGCTAAAGCACCTGAAGTCCTTTTTCAGTCAGAGAAGGCATGATCCCTACTCCCTGAAAATCACCATGTTTTTTGTTAAATAGTTGCTGAAGATTGCTCATTTTGTACAAAAATAATGGAATGAACAAATTTAAAATAAAAATAACCACCTCCTTGGATGGATAAGGAGCTGCTGAGGAAAATTCAAAGGAAAAAAGAGGCTTATAAAAAGTGAAAGCAAGGACAGGTGGCCTGGAAAGAATACCAGGGATGTTATGCGGGAAGCTAGGCACCAGGTTAGGAAAGCCAAGGCCCAGTTAGAATTAAACTTGGCTAGGGATGTTATAACAGGAAGGGATTCTATAGGTACATAGCAAATAAAAGACAGACTAGGGACAACGCAGGCCCCCTCCGGAAGCTATTGGGAGAACTGGCTACACAGGATTTGGAGAAGGCTGAGGTTCTGAATGACTTCTTTGCCTCGGTCTTCACTGGCAAAGGCTCTGACCACACCACCCAAGTCTTAGAAGGCAGATGCAGGGACTGTGAGAATGAAGATCTTGCACCCACTGTAGGAGAGGATCTGGTTCAAGACCATCTTAAAAATCTGAACATGCACAAGTCCATGGGTCCTGATGAAATCCATCTGCGGGTCCTGAAGGAGCTGGCAAATGAAGTTGCTAAGCCACAGCCATCATATTTGAAAAATCATGGCAGTCAGGTGAAGTTCCAGATGACTGGAAAAAGGGAAATATAACCCCCATTTTCAAGAAGGGGAAAATGAATGACCTGGGGAATTACAGACCAGTCAGTCTCACCTCTGTGCCTGGCAAAATCTTGGAGCAGATTCTCCTGGAAGGCATGCTAAGGCACATTGAAAATCAACAAGGTGCTTGGTGACAGCCAGCATGGCTTCACTAAGGGGGAATCCTGCCTGACCAATTTGGTGGCCTTCTATGATGGGGCTACAGAACTGATGGACAGGGGTAGAGCAGTTGATGTCATCTACCTGGACTTGTGTAAAGCATTCAACACTGTCCCACACAACATCCTTGTCTCTAAATTGGAAAGACACCAATTTGATGGATGGACCACTTGGTGAATAAAGAACTGGCTGGATAGCTGCACGCAAAGAGTTGTGGTCAATGGCTCAATGTCCAGCTGGAGACGAGTAACGAGTGGTGTCCCTCAGGGATCGGTGTTGGGACCGGTCTCTTTGTTGCTGACATGGGCAGTGGGATTGAGTGCGCCCTCAGCAAGTTTCTGGTGACACCAAGCTGTGTGGTTCGGTTGATATGTTGGAGGGAAGGAATGCCATCCAGAGGGACCTTGACATGCTTGTGAGGTGGGATGATGCCAACCTTCTGAAGCTTAACCATGACGAGTACTAGGTCCATTACACCTGGGTCAGAGTAATCCCAGGCACAGGTACAGGTTGGGCAAAGAAGAGATTCAGAGCAGCCCTGCAGAGGACTTGGGGGTGTTGGTTGATGAGAAAATGAACATGAGCTGGCTTCAGTGTGCACTTGCAGCCCAGAAAGCCAACCGTATCCAGGGCTGCATCCAAAGGAGCATGACCAGCAGGTCGAAGGAGGTGATCCTGCCCCTCTACTCTGCTCTTGTGAGACCTCACTTGGAGCATTGTGCGCAGTTCTGGTGTCCTCAACATAAAAAGGACATGGAACTGTTGGAACAAATCCAGAGGAGGGCCACGAGGATGATCAGGGGACTGGAGCACCTCCTGTATGAAGATAGGCTGAGAAAGTTGGGGCTGTTCAGCCTGGAGAAGAAAAGGCTGCATGGAGATCTCATAGCAGCCTTCCAGTATCTGAAGGGGGCCCTATATGGATGATGGGGAGGGCCTCTTCATTAGCAACTGTAGTGACAGGACAAGGGGTAATGGGTTAAAACTTAAACAGGAGAAGTTTAGATTGGATATAAGAAATTCTTTCTTGTTAGGGTGGTGAGGCACTGGAATGGATTGCCCAGGGAAGTTGTGAATGCTCCATCCCTGGTGGTGTTCAAGGCCAGGTTGGACAGA